GCTCTTAAATTGAAAGATGCTGTTTCCACAGGATAATTCCACTTTAGATCAACAGTATCCAACCCCGACAGTAAAACCATGTAAATTTCAAGTTGATCTGATTTTGCCTTTCAAATTAATGGCCCGTCAAATTTGCCCATATGTGATATAGTCTTTCAATTATTTCAGAATGTTTTACAAATGAAAATTGCTGTTTCCATGGGATAATTTCACTCAAGATCGACAGTGTACACTATCACGGGGATATCAAGTCAATTTCAAGTCGCCTTGATTTTGCCTTTCAAAGTAATGGCCCGTTGAAATTGCCCATGTATGACCCACTCTTTCACTGCCTTCAGAATCCCATTAAAAGCAAAGTTGCTGTTTCCACGAGATGATTTCACTCTACATTGACAGTATATAACCCCACAGTTTTATCACCTCAATATTGTGATTATCATTGTTTATTTGGTACTTTTAATAAGTAAATGCAGATGCTGTTAACAGGACAATTACTGTTTCCACTAAGTAATTGGAGTTCATGCAAACCATACACAACCTCTACAGCATTTCAGAGTAAAAGCCTTTTGACTTTGTTTATAGGAGCTTCTCTTTCCATAACTTCAGAATGACATTAAATGGAAAGTTCCAGCTTCCATGAATTAATACCAGTTCATGCCAACACATATCATTGCATATAATCTAACAGTGGAGTCGGTGACTTCAGAATGCTGTTAATTAGGAAAATCCCTGTCCCCATGGACTAATTCTTCTCTAAATCAATAATATACTCCCTCAAAGTTGTACACTGTGAAAATCAAGTCTTTCTTATTTTTGATTTAAAAATAGTTGCCCTGGAAATGTTTTACAAGCTGTTTTGTAATTTCTTTATTTAGAATGATATTATGTAGAAATGACATCTTTCCACAGACTTGAAATATGGACGTACTATCAATTACGACTTACTAGTAATTTCAGCTTCCTTTTACATCATCTTTATGATTCAATTCTGTCATAATCAATTGAGTCTGAT